AAAAAAAAAAAAAAAAAAAAAAAAAAATCAACACATATGACCAAAAGCCACCAGGCCCTGAACAGCACCACATTTCCTTAGTGCAATGGTGAACAGCAAAAACTACGATATGTTAAGAATAAAACACCAAACCATACAAAAAACCCCGACCAAACCCCTACAAAATGAAAAAACCTTGTCCTGTCTTTTTCCAGCTGCCTGAGTTGGTCTCATTAAAGGTATTACTACACTCTACACTTCTATCAATTGAGATACTGTGAAATATATATAAAGTGCATTTCAAGTAGACTAAACAACATTTTCAATAGTCTCCTCTGCACATAGATACAAACATCCAAGAGGGGAACTAACAAGAAATCACCATTACAGAAAGCTTCCTTTGTTGATGAGCCCTAAATTAGTGCAAAGGGATATTCTACTAGATTTAACAATCTACACTCCTTGTAAAACTAGGCTCACTCAAGTAGCAGGTTAAAAATCCTGTACAAGTGGCTGTACTGATCCTGAGCATAATATTCAGAACAATATACAGAATTGAAACTTACCTGAAGAATGCTCGAGTAGCCCAGGCAGATACTTCTCTATCATATGCAGCATTAGAACAGGCCAAAATAAGGCAAGTGGCACAGGCCTGATCCTCCTAGAGCATACTATGCTGTTAGTGTGGTGTCTTATATCAAGTTGATAAGAAATGTATAGAAGTTACACTCGCTCAGTAACTAAACTTGTTGTTGTTTGCCTTAAAAAAAACCACCCAAACCAATTATACACATTTCTACTGGCCTTAAAATGTAAAATGTAAAAACTTGTAGTGGTAAGAATTCAACTTTTTTTAGAAAATCTTCTACCCCTACTCTTAGATGACCTTCTCTTCTAAACTAAGAATTGCATTATACTTCTGCATGCAAGACATATAAGAATTTCAGGGAAACTTTAATTTTTAGATACTATAAAATGAGAAGTTATTTCTCATTATGCAATTTAGTTTTATGTAGACAATAGAAAAGGAAAAGCTACTACTGTAATTGGTAAATGAAGTGTTGACTAAAAGTTTACAGCAACAACAAAAAGATGCTAAAGAAAGTGATTTAGATAAATATAACAGATCTTCCATAACATTTCAAAAGCTCTTCTTACCTGATGCAACTTGAAAAATCTTTCTATCTCTTCTCCATCTCCACCTATATTACTAACAAGCAGATGCCGCAGCTGGTCGACAGGTCTGAGTTTATGAAACATAAAGCTTCCCTAAAAATAAGGCAAAGTAAGTTAGAAAAAAGCTGTCTTTACTCTGCCCATTCCAACATGCCTCCCAGCAATGTTATATTTAGCTTTCTGAGTTTTCCTCCACCGGATCAAAACATAACTGGTGCCTGAAGTCCAGTTTGACTAGCGAGTCTAGGAAAGGCAGGAAAAATACTACAATGGCTATAAACTCTCCACAGTGTTCTTATTTTGCTGGTTTTAGCCCAACATGAATATAAACACACAGCATGTATATGCAGAAAAGAAAGGCTTTATGTATCTTGTAAACCCTTAGAACTGCCTGGAAAAAAAAAAATGCCTGAAGACTTCAGGGCATGGTAAGATTTTACTCAATCACCTTACCTGCATCCAATAACAGTTCCTAACTACTGGAAAGGATTCAGTTAATGCCCTTCACAAAACAGCTGCTATTAAACAGATGCAACTTGCGGGTCTAGAAGTTGCAAGACATTAATATTTAAACATTTTCTTTTTTAAATGACCTATTGTGTCTAAAATATTGCTAAATGTAACCAGAATAGAAAAGTACAGAAGTTAGCTTCTTTACTTTTGTGGGTTTTGTTTTTTAAAACCCACTCTAACTTTTTTGGGACTTTTTCTATGACAAATGAGAAATTATTTATTCAAATTTCAATTGCCAACAATATTTACTTGAACTATATTTCCTAGGCAGCCAGCGACTGTTTCAATGTCATATAATCAAAAGCATAACCACGGTTAAAAGAACTTCCCAAATGATTTGTATCTACATGGGTTTTCTGGAGACCAACAACTTTTAATACACTGTACAAGAGAAGCTGGCCTAAAAACTTTGAGTAAATTTAAAACAGGTAGAGATGGTTGTAGCAATCTTCTTCTTTATTCATTTTCATGTTCATAACACAATCCTTAAAACATATCTAAGATGAATGTATAGGTTTAGATGAGTTGTCCAACTTTATACTTATTCTTCTGATTACCTACATCAAGCAACATAATACTCACCTGGGCTGAAAGCAGAACAAACTTCTTAGGTGGCAGCATGTGTTGCTGCACAACAACAGGTGAGTCAGTTATTGGAATAATATCTTTATTTAGTGGTGTTACAATCTTCTGAACTTTAAAGTCATCAATAGCGGAAAGAGCCCAAGAATGTCCATCAACACGGGTGGTCATCTGAACAATAGATAGATAATATCCAAAGTTTGGTAACAGACATGGATTTTGCATATCCATGGTAATATTTTACTATTTATTGAGGAGGACGGAAAATCAGAATGGGAGAGATTTCAAGCATGGAGAGACGTTTATGGAGCTTGAATGGACTGATATCTTATTGGACTGACTGTTATTCCCCAGTTCATCATTGGTTTTATATTAAGTTTAATGTACCCCAGTGTTATTCCTCTCAGTCTCTCAGATTTTCCCGCCAAAAGTTGTTTACTCCCCTGTTCTCCTCTGCTTTCCCGCTCCTCTGTCACTGATTGGCTGAGAGTTGTTGCAGCGCAGAGTGAGCCCCCATTGGTCCCTTCCCTTGGATACCCATAAGTTACACCCACCTTTCCCCTGTCTCCCAATCCTGTCTCACCCTTGGTTGTCAATCCCATGCTCCACCCCAGTTATGAATCCTCCCCTCACCCTCACCCTATATAAGTCCCTGTTTGCCTTTAATAAACTGGCATTGCACCCAGACTTTCAGCTGCGTCTGAACCCTTTTGTGTGGTGCTGCGTCCCTATCCCTTTTTCCCTTGGGCCATGGCAATTTATCATTTAAATTACACAGAATAGATTCTGCTCTTGACACCAGAAAAGCCAGGGAAAATATGCAAGTTATTGTATTGTCTAACAGAAGGCTACCACCACATTTACAGCTGTATATACACTGTTGGTTTTAGGAGAAAGGGAATAATATACTGCTTCTTTTGGGAGACAGAGATAGTGTTTTACATTTAAATGTAAAACAACTTGCAAAGTAAGGCTGCTACAATATAAACACCAACCATCTGCTAACCATATCAGAACTAAGTACCACAAATATCATGAATTTAAATTATTTCTTAAAGAATCAAAATAACCTGTAACTGAATCACAAAGGTTTACAAGACTTTCGCAGCTGGCAGCAGTACTTTAAATATAACTCAAGAAGAGACATACACTGGTGAGACACTGCAGAAAACTGTGTATGCTAACAAGGAAGAATTGTTGCTCAAGAACAGGCTGCAGTTTTGTTCAGAAAACCTACCCATCTGTCACTGTCAGATGCCTTGGGAAAAAAGAGATGTCAGCACTTGGGATACATATACCTAGGTTTTTGCAGGGAAGGGGTCTGGATTAACTATAAAACTCCTTTGTAAGTTATTAATTAAAGCAGAAGAAAAGCCAAAACCTGACTTTGAAACTTTTAGCTTATACAGTCCTCCCATTCACTCCAACTCCACTACTCTTTCAATAAGCGCTATTTTTGACATGTCACTCCTCTACTTCAGTAGAAGACTTGAAACTTCTTTCAGAGATGGAATACATGAAACGTTCTCCCTGAACCAAAACATAAGGCAAATTAGCCTCTCCAAGCCCCTCCTACAAACTCACTTATGTAACAATTAAGAAAAAGAAAATCAGAGAAAAACTCCTATAAAATAATTAAGAGATTAATCATATGTGAAATTTAATGAAGATATGGCGTATCAGTTTAAGTAAAGAATCCTGAAGCTTCTAGCACCTACATTTTAAACAATCTTTACCAAATTTTATCCTCATCAACAAAAACCTCTAAGGGCTGCGGAACATGCTTTCCTGTGCTTGTGCAGAATACATAGCATGCTATAGACAACAGTATTTTCAAATATATGCAACTTCTAAGTCAAGTCTTAGAAGTTAAGGTAATTTTTTTTGATACATAGCTTGCATTAAGCTAGAAAAGTATGTCCGAACTAGGATGTCTACTGAGAGACTCATTCACAGAACAGTCAACTACCTTTTTTCTTTGAAGCATTATTGATTAGTAGCTTTCTAACTCACGGAAGTTTTCTGTGAATTACCCACTTCTTGCAGACAGTATTATTCAAGCATCTGTTATTAGAAAAGAAAAAAATAATACCTAGATTTCATCAAAAACCTATAGAAGTTAGATTTATACCTGTGTTTCCATCATTGGCTTTTGAAAAGGAAAAGAATCATGATTGACACACCACAGAATGTCATTATCCTCATTTTCTGAAGCAGCCATCAGCAGGACCCCTAGCAAGAAGAGCAACAGTAAGTCTGTTAGAAGACTGTATTAGTCTATTAGAACAGTATTAGAAGTAATAATCATCCATAAAATTCATAACTCATTAATTCATTCTTAAACTAGCAAAAATCAATCTGTAAGTAGTTATCATACAATTTGAGCAGCAAATAACATCTCCTGAGTTTGTACGCCATACGGTTCTTCAGAAGGTCACTTTTAACACCACCTCCTATCTAAAATGCAAATAAAAGTGAGCCTAAAATGGGTAGAACGTGCCTCAAAAAAGAGAGTTTATGCAGATGGATGAGAAAACATCCAGAAATGACTTCAATGCAAAAAATCAGTACATATGACCAAAAGGGTCAGCAATATAGAGATATTTGCCCCCTGCATTTCTGCAGCACTTTTAAAAATTGAGCCTACCATCAGAAATGGCATAAAGCTGGAACCATCTGGCAGCTGTTCAGTACCTTGTAAGGGCCACACTTAGAGCTTTCAGTTATTCCCACCCCTTCAAGTTCCCCAATACAAAAACAGTGCAACAGTGACTGTCACCCCCCCAAAAAATTAATTTCATTTAAGCCACGTTCCACAACTTACCTTTGCTATAAAGAGCTCTGTGAACCTTTGAGGGCTTCTCTACATTAGAGGAAGCTGAAAATCCAGGTGGCAAACGGACATGAACCAAAGTTAACATGGAAGGACGAGCTGTTGGATGCTTAAATTGTGAAGTACTAAAATACAGTCGGACACCTGAAAAAAAGATCGAAATAGGTCACAAATTTGCTAAACTGTGCAGATACTGTTTATTAGTTTAAACAGAGGGGAATTAGCACTGCTTTTTTACCTGCATGGGTGATTGCTAGTAGTTGACAGTCTATGGATTCAGAATTTTCAATTACTGCTATTTGAATAATAGGCTTAAATACAGAACGATCTATTGTTCTGAAAAACAAAACAAAAAAATCCCATACACTTTCAATCCAAAGAAATAGGCAAATAACATTCTTCAAAACGGTAGTATGAAACTACTGGTCTTATAGGAAGCCTCTTACATTACAATTGTCATGAACATACCTGGCAATGCTCCCTGCAGCAGAAACTATAGCATTTTGTGAAAGAGAAGTAACCCTGGTCATTCCTTGACCATCTTGCCCCAAATCGTAAACCTGCAATTCAATAATACAGCTTACTGATTTAGGAATGAATTAATAAATACAGCCTCACTTACCAAGCAGAAACTCACACTGCATTTTTATTTTATACTCATGTTTCCATATAATTGAGGCTACTCTTTCCTTAAAAGTACTTTAAGTCTTTAGCACACACTTTGTTAGAAAAAGATCAACAGAAATAATGTCCTGACATACCTACAGACAATTCCCAGGTATTGAGGAAAACTTAAAATGTTATATACACGTTATTATACACATTAGCAACACAGCCACAGTCATAAGAAGTCACATACTTGCAGGACTCCTTTTTCGGAGCGGGTGTACAAGATATTTCGAGAGTTGTCAATGGCAATTTGAACCACAGGATCTGGGGAGGATGGGGAAAAGGGAGAACCAGAAAATTAACACTTGATTTGGTGAAAACAAGTTTAGAATACCTAAAATATAATGAGTTGTAAGTTAACAAAAACTGCAGTCTCAGGACTCCTACTGGAAGTGATTTAAAACAGCAATCAACTTCACACAACTGTTAGTAAACTAAAAAAAAAAAAAAATTGTCTAATTTTTCACTAAGCAGTAAAACAGGGTAAGATTATTTACTTATAGATTCTTGGTGTTCACACTGATCCCCACGCGGATCCCACAAAGCACATATTAGTTTTGTGATACAGATCACTAACTGTAGTCTGAAATGCCAAATTTTTCAGGCTTTGCTATCTAGATCCTGAATTAGACATGCAAACAATCTGTATACAACTACAAAATTCTTCCATAATAATCACTGCAAATTTCATTGGCAATCATTCAATGCTATGAGTAAGCAAACTATTCAGTCTGACTTCTTCGTAGTATCATTTTAAAAGGTTACATCAAATTATTGGCTAAGCCTTTAAAATCAGTACTTACCATCCTCTGAGAATGTGAACTGTAGCAATGAAGGAACAAGGAAAGACAGCACGCTCTTTGAATGGTTTATTTTTCTACAGCGCTGACTAAACCAGCCTGCTTCAGCCTACAATTTAAAACAAATACAGCATTGAAAGAAAAAAGCAAAACAATTCCAAACTAGTAGCAAAATTAAAAAAGTTGTTTACGGGATAAGTATGAAAACAAGTAAAAATCTAACTACTTTGATTTAATTTCACAAGTATGTATTATTCAATTGAAAGAAAAAAAGTGACCATTAAAAGGAAAATTTTGCATAAAAAATTGTGCATATGTCACAATTTGATTTTAACTTGACTTAGATTGCACTGTTACTCCCTCCTGCTTCTTCAAACAAAACGCATCTACATTAAGATATCAGAGCTGTTGTGCAACCAAGCCATGCAACACAATCATAGAAGCAAAAAGATTGCAAACTTGACACCTTCTAGAATTCCTATTGCTTATATCCCAAAACAATGAAACAATGAAACATGCCTGTGTGTAAAACCCACAGTCAGGTACCAAACACCATACCTGGTATGCTACTTCATATAAGCAGCCATCTTTTCCAGCCAAAAAGATGCGCCCATTATCACTGGAGGTAATTGCCAGGATGTAGGTATTGTCGGTAGGGAGTGAATACAGAGGATCTGGTAGCAGCTGCATTCCTCCAGACATGCTGTCATTGAGTGATCCAGTACCTCAGATAAACAAACAAATTAAACCTCTTTAGATTTTAAGCTGTTCTAATAATTATTACAGGTCTGTGACAAGAAACATTTCAGAAAGCAGGAAAAAGCACACCATATTTCAAAATTAGTAAACATATTCTGGAATAGCTTTTGTCCAAAGTGAACTGCAGATGAACAAATCCTGTTTTTTAAGAAAATAAACATTCTGTGTAAGTTCCCAAGTAAGGAAATGCAATGTTTTTCATTTCTATACATTGTCACCTCCTCTAAATTGCAACAAGTCCAAAACACAGGTTTTTACATATTATCTCTTTCACACCAACAGAGCATTAAAAAAGCAAAATGTTACTTTTTCCAAATAATTTTTTCTCTCTGTTAATATATATGGCCTAAAAAAACCAGGTTCTCAATTTTTGTGGTAGGAAAAATTGGCAGGAAATTTGTGGTAGGAAATGCCAACAAAGTTAATAAACTGTATTCACTAGTTTCAAGATTCATTTCTTCTCTCCCTCTCCAACATGCTGGTTAATTAACAGGATTACCTGTTTCAAAAGCTCTTTTTATGTTAACTAGGTGAGTAACAAAACTCAACGCTTCTCATGGAGTTCATAATCCAGCAAGTGCACACACCATAAAAATTACTTCCCCTGTTTGTAACACAATTTAAAGATTTAAAAACTAGCAAGGGACTTAGCACATGTTCGGGGTTTGGTTTTATTTTTTGAATCGCTACTAATAAAGTTGCTATGTGTATTTGTTAATACACAACTAGAAAGAATGGAGAAGAGAGAATTACCTGGTTGTATATTAGAACAATGAAGCCCCAAAATCACAATGTCCACTGGTGTAGCCAGAACAAGTAAGTGTCGTACGTGAGGCTGGAAGATACCTAAATAAAGGAAGAAAAGAAAATTTAGTTTGCAGCCTGCCCTGAGATCACATGATGTAGCCAATGTATCCACTAGAAAGCCATATCAACTGATTAGAGGGAACAATCATATGTAAAACCTAAAGATGTGTGAAAATCTAGAATTTGAAAGGAATATTCAGCCAGCAGTTCATGAAATACAGGATCTTTAAAATGACATTTTTCTTACAAATATACTTCTTTTAAACTCAACCCTTTCGCCAATTCAACTTTGACTTCAGTGTTATTTAGGCAATAGCTACCAAAATAACAGGGAGAGCTAGAAACCAGGATCCCATGGGAGTTACTGCTTGAATGTGTAAATTTATGAACCATATAAATGCTGGAGCATGATGTGACAAAAAAAAAAAAAAAGGCAAGCTTATCAGCATAAATAACTGGTGAACCATACTATATTTAATATATATAGTTAGCAGTAATAAACCAGTTATAGTTAATACTATATTATTTTTGGCTTGTAATTAATTTTACAACATTTCGAAAACTGATGTCTCTTGTGTGTACATATATACACATACACAAACCACAGATTTTCACATATCATAGAATCACTGAGGCTGCAAAAGACCTCCAGGATCACTGAGTCCAACCTTGAGACTGAACACCTCGTCAACTAAACCACAGCACTAAGTGCCACATCCAGACGTTAATATATATGCACGTTAATATATACGGATACGTATAAAATAAGACATTTTATTTTATATTAATGTATATTTCATTAGATTATTAATATAGAGTATAAAATATACGTGCACATATATCAAATATATAAAAAATATATGGAAGGTTCAGTACTGCCTAATTCTAATCACTGTCATATATTTCTTACCTGCCTTTGGTTTTACAAGACCCACTGCAAGAATAGTTTCGCTAAGGCCATCAAAATAAGCCAGATCTCCCCTGTAAACAAACAAACAGACAAGAAAAACTCCTGCATAAAATTTGTCATGTAGTATCACATAATAACAAAGTAAATAAAATCAGATTGTTTATATTTAAAAATGACTAATACTTGTGTAACATGCTGAAACCATCTACATCTTTCACTCTCGGGGAAAGCAGGTCCAGCAGAACAGAATAACAGAGAAGTTTCACAGCAAAACTATGCAGTCATTTAAGCTGCTTGAAGCCCCCATAGTTGAATTTAAAACGTGAAAGCCAACTGCAGTATTTTATATTTTTTGTATTTTGTAAATTCATACTGTGAATTATATGATGCAGCATCTCAATACTGATTAACATCAAGAGGAAGAAGTTACGTGGGAGTTTTTTTTGCCCCATGAAAACTATCTGAAGCACAAAGTTCCAGTTTCCTTCCTACCATGTACCATTAACACCATGCAGTGTCCTTTTCTTTGGGGAATGTATTTGATACACTCTGACACAATGTAAATGTAGAGAGGAGCTAATCTGAACTTCAATCTTCTTAGAATGCAACACTGTACACAAAGCAATTCTTACTAAAAGAGTTCCTTCTACATAGGCAAATAAAGAAGCAAACCCACAAATTAAAAACTTATCAATGCCATTTGAAAATACAATGAACTTATTTTCAGTTTTATGCATCCATAAAAGAAGCAAGGGAGGAGAGGTTCAATAACAATACTTTGAAATATTAATGCTGTATTACTCACCATTGTAGGAATGACTGGTCACTATACATGCATCTCAGTACCTACTAAACCTACTTAAAAAAGTTAGGCAACTAGAATAATTTTTTTTCTACTTTTCTGGCACAAGCAAAGCTCTAGCGTAAATACTGCAGTAACTTTAGAATATTAACTAGTCTAACCCTAAGAAAATGCATTTTCCTTTCTCTCATCTGTAGATGATTTGGCAGCAACATTACTAACTCTTACACACCTTTAAATACTTATTATTCAAAAGTTTCAGTAAAGCCTAAGAGGAATCAAGATCAGTTAAACTGAACAGCACACCTCTGTGCTGCCAGTAAACAATCTTCCACCACTGCAATCTCTTAACTCTGCTATAGGACAAATAAAACATAATCAGGAATGTGTTCTCTACATACCCGTCTTCATAGTTCCACATAAAGATGTCACTGTCGATGGTCAGCCAAGCTCTGCTGATCTCTGGAAATACTCCCATCATACAATTGCACTGCATATCTAAAGCACTGCTGATGTAAGGATTAAATGCATTTTGGGTAGCAAAATCCTCTTTGGAGCATTTAAAAAAATCCTATTAATTAATATACAGTAGTACAGAAACGGTGTACCATATACTTGAAAATTCTTCATACAATAACCAATTCCACCAGGAACTCTACACAAATGGACCTTGTTACCATTTGGAGTGCTATGAAGAGAACCTGAACAACATAAAATTTTCTTACTGGGAGTCTGTCAAGAAGATTGAGGAAGAAGAATACGGACGAAAGAAATTTGTTGCTAATATTACTGCTTACACAATCTAACATATTTTTTTCATAAGGATACGTCCAAACTGCTCCACTAGCTCTGGTGGAAGTGGGACTCTGCGGACTGAGCTGATCTCTGGAAGATTAGGTATTGACAGCAAACCTGGTCCTTGTAAAGGATAATCCATATCCGACATACCAGAAACAGTAGGGCTACCTGCAAGTAAGAAAAAAAAATGATCAAATGCCTTGATGCTACAGAGACTTTAAACATACAGATACCACTACTCAGAAGATACATGTGAACAAAGATTTCTGTAAGTAGAACCATGAACAATAAATCTAAACTTTAAATCAGACAAGAGCAAACAGATTTGCAGACAAACTGTTAGAACAACTCATCTAGACCCCAGCCTGCTCCTTACCCCCTTTTTTTCCATGACACTTTCCAGCCCTTTATTCATCGTATGGCCAGATACATACTAGAAGAACCCAGGACCATATTCCTTCACCTAGAAAAGGTGATCTGTACTCCCAGTACCAAGTCAAAATACCCATGTACACCCATTATTTTATGTGACGTGTATCCATGATGCTGCCAGGGCAGTTACACTCTGGCCATACACACCACAGCAGAAAACAGATACTCTTTGTATGCATCCAGACACTCCTGGACGTATATTAATTATACACCTACAGCTCTAGAGTGCCTCTTCACAGCCCACTTTGCCAAACAGTCAGTACTAATGGAGAAATGCTGCCTTGATATGTTAAGGAAGATAAATGTTTGAAAAGACGTATGCCTCACATCACACCCACGTGTGACATAAAGCTAGAGACAAATTAAAGCCGAAAAAGAGCTTTCCAGGCTGCTTGTAACTTAGGGATAGGCGCACGGGTTACCACGAGAGCATCCTGCACGAGATTCCCAATAGGCAGAACAGAAAACTAGCGCCGTTTTCTTCACCTTCTGGAGGGAGACGAGGCAGATCCAGCCCAGTGCCCCCGCAGGGCTCACCCCCACAGCTCCCACCCGCGCACCGAGGCTGTGACGGAGCAGCCCCTCAGACCCGGCCCGGCCCCGGCACGGCCCGCGCGCGTGTCTGCCCGGGCAGCGCCGGCCGGGGCCGCCCCGCGGTGGGTCCTGGGGGCTCCGGGGGCGGCGGGACCCGAGCGGAGCCCCCTCACTCACCGGGTGCCGGCACCGCCAGCAGCTCCGACAGGTCTGGGTAGCAGCGGTCGTCCTGGATCTGCCGGTCGATGATGCGACCGGCCGCCTCCAGCGCCTCCTGCGCGGCCGGCGCCGCGGGGCTCGTGGCCGCGGGCATCGCGATCAGCGGCGGCGATGGCGACACTCCCGCGCAGCTTCACCGCCCGCCCAATCCCGGCAGTCCCCGCGCGCGACGCTACTTCCGGCGGCGGGAAGCAGGAGATGGGAAGGGAAGGGGGGCGGAAAAGGAGCGTCTCCGCAGTGAGAACGCCCCCGGGGCGGGCGGGTCCGGCGTTGCGTGGGTGGGAGGGATGAGGCGAAGAGGCGACAAAGCAGGTGTGACGAAGAGGTGACTGAGAGGAGACCTCGTCAGTGTGTATAAATATCTAAAGGAGGCTGTGTGCCAAGAGAATGGAGCCGGGCTCTGCTCGTTGGTGCCCAGCAATAGGACAAGAGGCAACGGGCAGAAACTGATGCACAGGAAGTTCCATCTGAACACGAGGTGTTCTTTACGGTGCAGGTGACCACGCACTGGAACAGGTTACCCAGAGGGGCTGTAGAGTCTCCCTTGAATATCATTGGAGATATTCAAGAACCATCTGGACACAATCTTGTGCCATGTGCTCTATGGCCCTGCTTGAGCAGGGAGGTTGGCCCAGATGACCCACTGTGGTCCCTTCCAACCTGACCCATTCTGTGATTCTGTGATCTGCTCTGACAGCCCCGTCGGGGCTGTGCTGCATCCTGCAGGGATCCCCAAGGTCACCCAAGGGACAGGAGTAATGTGCTGTGCCACCCCTCAAAGGCACAGGAGGGCCCTGAGGAGAGCAATGGGAAGTGGCTTCAGTCAGTGGTGTGTGGCCCTGGGCAGCTCCCTACCTGCCTGTCCACTCTGCAGTCACAGTAGGTCTTTTCCAGCCCCTGCAACAGCCCAGGCAAAGAGAGTCTTAGTTGACAAAGGTTGGACTTGTTGATCTCAGAGGTCTTTTCCAGCCTAAATGATTTAGTGGTTTTATGCTGCCAGCCTGAGTGATAACTGTGTGATCTTTACTGTGGAGTTACAGTATAGATCAGACAGACATATGCAGATTTCGGAAGAAAATCCAAGGAAGACAGCTACTGGAGAGGGTCCAGTGGAGGGCTAAAGATGATTAGGGGTCTGGAGCATCTCTCTTATAAGGAGAGACTGCAGCAGCCTGTTTAGTCTAGAGAAGAGAAGACTGAAAGGGGATCTCATTAATGCATATAAATATCTCAAAGGCAGGTGCCAGGAGGATGTGGCAGACTCTTTTCAGTGGTGTCCAGTGACAGGATGAGGAGCAATGGCCATAAACTAAAACACAACAAGTTCCACCTTAACATGAGGAAGAACTTTGCATTGAGGGTGGCAGGGCACTGGAACAGGCTGCCTGGGGAGGTCATGGAGTGTCCCTTTCTGGAGACATTCCAAAACCACCTGGACATGTTCCTGTGTCACCTGCTTCAGATGACCGTAGCTTGGCAGGAAAGTTAGACTGGATGATCTCCAGAAGTCCCTTCCAACCCTGGTGATTCTGTGACTTTGTGTGTAGTGATGTAAGCCAAAAACAGGGTGATACTGAGCCCCTTATGATTTCAATAGGGGTTTGAGTCAAGTGTTGCAATTTTTTTTAGTTTGTAGATGTGGATGGACAGTTATGGTTAAGCAATCGCATTTCAACATTGTACACTTAGCAAATCTTATGTTTTAAGGAGAAGACAATTACAAGATCGTTTTGATAAGAGTCACAAGGAGTGAAGTCAGCAGAACTGAGCATTAACTGGGGTAAAGGTAATTTCAGCAGTGTGTGATGTAATTTCAGCAGTGGGTGATCCCAGCCACGGAGTCATTGACTACCTACTCAAAATGAACCCCAAACTGAAGAGGAAGGAAGAACTGCACCTATAGGCTTAGCAGGACAAGTGAGAGATACAAGCACCATATAGAGGTTAATAAAAAAATTATGTAATTTTTAACCAATGAATGCTGATGCCTTTGTTTGTTAAAATGTATAAATAGTGTAAAGCTTTGATGATTGGGAGGCCAGCCTTTTGTGAGTTACCACACATCTCCCTACTTTGTGCAAACTAGAATAAAGAAATAGAAATGCCTCACCTCGGTGTGTAAATTGGCACTACACACCAGGTAAGGAGCCTGTGTTTGGGACAACACAGGGATTCCCCTTCTAAGGTGTGCACAGTGCCTCTGTTCAGAGATAAGGGTGGAAGTTGCCTGAGGAAGCTACTGTTTTTCCAGAATTTGGGTTGACATATCAATGTGACTGTAGCAGGCTGTTAACTTACCAAGGCTGGGTCTCTGCTAAGTGACGTGTCTGCTCTGAACAGCATAGACATTTCGAAATTGTCACAGGAAATTTTGGGGCTGGGTGAAACTTGGATTTCAGGGAAGGGGTCTGATTTGTAAGTCATGTTTGCTGCCTAGACTGCACTGAATTTCTGCTCCTGGATCGGTCCAGCACACATTCTGGAAAGCTTCATTTATAGCAGAGGCTCATGGCAAAAGAAACAAAATCCTCCTGCTCTGCTTTCCAAATGCAGAACCTGAAGTTAAGCCTCAACCCTTGCAGGGTTTACATGGCAAATGGGGAATTTCTTGCTGTATCTTCTCAAGATTGAGACGCTATCAACCAGTCACCAGCAAGGTTTCCCAGGGCTCAGTTTTAGGTACAGTGCTTTTTAATATTCTTATAAATGATCTGGTTTGCAGGTATTAAGTTAGTTTGGTGACACTAAACTAGGAGGAGCTGTGGCCTCCCTTGATAATAGAGAGGCCTTACAGAGATTTGGATAGAGAGCTAGGCAACTGCCCACTATGTAAAATTGAACAAGAGCAAATGCCGAATTCTCCACCTGGGACAGGGAAATCCTAGTAATACAAACAAACTGGGGGATGAGAGGCTGGAGTGCAGCCCCATGAAAAGCAATCTGAGTTTTAGGGTTGATGGCAAGTTGAATATCAGCCAGCAATGCCCTGGAAGCCAAAAGGGCCAACTGTGTCCTGGATGCATGAGACACAGTATCACTGGCCCCGATTCCACACTTTACTGTGGGGTTGCACTTCCCATCTCAAGTCCTGTGTCCAGTTTTGGGCACCTCAGTTTAAGAAGGAGATCACATTGTTAGAGTGTATCAGGAGGAGGGGGGTCAAGATGGTGAAGGGTCTCAAGGGCAAGACTTAAGAGAAGAGGCTGAGGTCATTTGGCTTGTTCAGCCTGGAGGAGGCTGAAGGGGGACCTCACAGCACGGAACATCTTCCTCGTGGGGGCAGCGCAGAGAAGGTTCTGATCTGATCTCTGTGGTGATCAGCAGTAGGACAGGACGAGGTGGCATGAAGCTGTTGTCATGGGAAATTCAGGTTGGACATCAGGAAATGGTTCATTTTCTGAGATGATAGTCGGTCCCTGGAAGAGGCTTCCCGGGGAATTTGTCGCGGCACCGAGCCTGGCAGAGCTCTAGGAGCGTCTACACGACACTCGTAGTCACGTGGGTCAGTTTTATGTGGCCCAGCCAGGAGCAGGGCGTTGGTTCCATGACGCTGACGGGTTCTTGCGATGGGAAGGAAACTCCTTTGGTCCCGCCCGGCCGCTTCCTGCTGGCGGCTGTTGTGTTTCCGGGGCAGGCGCAGCATGGAGCCGGCGGCGGAGGGCGGTGAGCGGCGGGGTGCGCGGGGGCTCAGCCCAGCCCAGCCCGCGGCCCCCCCTGACCCCCTGCTTTCCTCTCTTCTCCCTCTCGTTGCAGACGCAGAGATGCTGGGGGCACCCGACCCGGAGCTGGCGGCCACCATGGGGTTCTCGGGCTTCGGTGCGTGTCGATGCGGGCGGGAAGTGCCGGGGAGCCCCGGCGGAGGCTGCTGGTGGACGTGGGAGCAGAGCCTCTCAGTTGCAGGTGGGGCTCTGTTCCAGTCTGCTTTTGCTTTGTTTTTAGGGAAGAAAGCTCGGACTTTTGACCTCGAAGCGATGTTTGAGCAAACGAGAAGAACCGCAGTAGAGAGGAGCAGAAAGGTCTTGGGTAAGAAGCGTAGTCGGCTTAATGCGTTTTAAAACATGTTTTGGTTTCCTCTCTTAGGGTGATGTTTGAAGTGTCTCGGACTGGCTGTCTAGAGAACAAAACATAGACGCAGTTTTGTTCAAGTAAAACAGTCCTTAACAGCTTGGGCCTTGATGGATAGCAAAGTTATTAATTTACTTGTGAGGTCTGAGGATGTAAGAGCAGTGTGAGTGTGCAAGCTTGCAGATACAGTAAAAAGGTGAATTTGAATATGAGAGTATTTCCTTTCTTCTTTTACGTAGCTGTGTATGTATTTTGGAAGGGAAGATGGTACGAAGCTTTAATCTAAAGACAACAGAATAATGAAGAAGACGTGTTTGTCTTATACCAAACATCAGGTTATATTGCAGTCCACAAGTGTGTCTCTGTCTTTTGCTGTGCATTTTCAAGGTGGTGGTTTGAGAGTGGTAGATGGAGGAAATTGTATCATTTCTGCCTGTATCCAAGTGAAAAGCAGTCCAAACAAGGTCCTTGAGAGCACTCTTATATATTTAGAAATCCCTTTATCAATTTTGCATGCTTTCTCCCTCCGCTTGGACAGTTTGTGCAGAACGTATGTGTTCTGTTTTGTTTTTCATATGATGCCATCATGGTTGAGCAGCTTCCATCCTACTAGATTATACTTAACCTGCTCTCTTAACTGTTGCAGTTTATGAAATTAATAGACCTTAATAATCTAATCATGTTACGATGTTAGGGCTTTTTATTGCCTTGATTCTATGCAGAACCACAAGATCTGTGTGGGCTCATTGACTTTGTGGACTTTAAGACACTGTGGAATTCAAATATACAAGGGATTCCCAAATTCAGTTTGGAATGTTTTGGGGTTTTTTTTTTTGTGTTCGCTGAATCTAAACACAACAATGTGTGTCCATGTTGGAAACCTTTTTATGTTTGAGAGTCATTCAACTTGAGCTATCATTTCTCTTGAGAAATCATTTGTTTACATCAAATTTTTGTTTAGGAGGGAGATTCAGTAAGCGATTACAAACCCCTGAGTTTTTAAGTCAAGATATCTTGACCTAT